CTGCTGAAGTTGATTGGGACTGATGATGAGATTCTGGCTGGGTTTGCCGGGCTTCGTGTTCTTGGGCGGCGGGGGCGGCATAGGCACGTGACAAGTATTGTTCTGGAGATCGGCGAACTCCGGCGGCGGTATGTGCTGAATGTGATGGCGTTCGGCAGTCTTGGTCTCCAGCTCGCCGCAAATGTTGTTGGGCATCTGGCCATTCTCTTGGCGCTTCTTCGAGCAGCCCTGATGCTGGTGGTTGCTCTTGTCGCGCTGATAATATACCCCGGCGAAGATGAGTACATTCAGGATCAGTAGGCTGCAACCGATCGCGATTGTCACGCTCAGGGCTGTGGAATAAGCCGCAAAACCGTCCTCGGGTTGCGCTGTGGTATCCTCGAAAGCTACGTCGCTGGGCGTGGCCGTCGACACGTTGGACGAGGATCTCTCTATAGAAGTTACCTCCAAAGTGGTTGTTCTCGCGGTTGTTGGCAGTCTCTGAATAAATCTGGGTGGCACCTGGAGAAAATTCTTTTTGAATTTGACTGACTGATTTGTTTTAACAATTATGCAATTAATTAATAATCGTTTCTATAATTTGATTTGAATACCTGTTCCGCATCGAGCAAATGATGCGACCTAGGAACGTCGTCTGAGCCGGGTTTGTGAAGGTCGGGCACTAGGTTTAACCAAAAAGACAGGCGATGAGCCCTGTAGTGATTCTTCAACTTCGACTTGTTGAGTTCTACAAAATGGACAGAAGATGACTTTTTAATCAAAAATTTTAATATAAATACAGTATAATAAATATGTTAATAAAGATACATAAATCACTAGAAATTTCACGATACAAAGATATAGATTTCTAAAAAGAATATTTGATATATCAGTAAATATAAACGCGCGCGAGAAAAGAGCATTCACATTGTTATATAAGAGAAATGAGGATAAAACGTCTCGTACAGAGACTGACCTATGCTCAGATATTTCTTGTGAACGGCCTCGTAGGCGAACCAATCGATATTCTTGACCTTGGTCCTTTCCGGTCTGGAGCCGAGGGGCCCAGGATCGGGAGTGCCCTCGTTCGGATTCCTGGCGGTCGGAAACGATCATTATAATAGCGATTCTCGGCAAAGTTTTTATCATATTTTGCGAGCATCTCTTTTACACTTTATTTTACGACTTACCCGGTGCGTGCGAAGTTTGTCAGATAAAGTATCATGCTCTCGGAGAGCGCTATTTCGGATCTGGTATAATTCTTTGGCCAGTGGGACAAGCCTCCTACCAAAGGTGCCCCGAAAAAATATGGCAGCTCCTCTCCATGAATGCATCCCGGCCTCTATACAACACGCACACATAGTAATTGATTAGAATTATTGTATATAAAATATAGAAACATGAGGAAAAGTAAAATTAAATATATAGATATAAGTGGAGATAAAAACAAAAATAAAAGTAGGAATTTAATTTTGTCCCTGTACATTGCGATTTTTATTTCTATCTCCATATTTTTGTACAATTATAATAATATTTCAATGTACGATTCTTTTAAAAGCATGGAGGATGAAAGCGAAGAATCTCTTAGTCGGCCCGAGATAACTTCGATCTCGCGTTTAAAGGCTCAATCGACTAGTTCAATCGAGGGGTTGACCGGATCGGACTAACCGCGGAATTCAAAAGAATTTTTCCGAGGGCCCTCTTTCGCGCTCGATCATACGAAAGCACTCATGGAATCTCCCGTTGAGATTGTAAAAATGCCTCGGCCGATTCTCCGCAAAGCCGGCATTTGCGCGTCATTTTAACGAGCCTGAGCGTGAAACGTCCTCGAAAAATTCGAATCACGCAAGCTCACTTTTGAGTAACGTGTCTAGAGCTTTAGTTCGGAACCGGCTTTAAAATATGAAATACATAATGGAATAATAATTATCGAATAGTACGGAATTGATGGTTCATATTTCTATGTTATGATTATTGAGTAACAGCAATAATCAAGTTGTAATTATATCATCATTCGTTAAATTTGGAAATAATTACGCTTCGACAAATTAACGTGTATCAATATATTATTACCAATAATCAGTTCTCGTTTTACGATTACCGTTAAGTTATTAATTACGCGGAACGAGAGCAGGTAAATTCTCTTAAAACGCATTAGAAATATCTCAGAGCATCGAGTTCCTCCTAAGATATAGGAATAAGAAACACGTCCGCGTTGTATTGCTAGGAGACGATATCGCGTTTCGTGTGCGACCGAAACGTTTTTCTGCATGCAATCGTAGCAGGCGCAATAAGTTCGTTGCAGCGTTTACGCGCGATCCTTATTCTTCGTTGGCTCTCCGCGATGCGAGACGTGAAAGGGGCGAAAAGAACGGGGGCTTGGCAGGGGGATGAAGGGAGGGCGTGCGCGTTGAACGTTTAATGCACTTTCATTTCGCTGGTTGACGGCAACGGTGATCGCTAGGTCGAGGTGCTAGACGATATTCGTATGCAAAATGCATCGGGTGTAAGGCGCAAAAGGTGCCGGCAGAGAGGAGAGAAAGAGAGAGAGAGAGAGAGGGAGTGCCGTAGTTGGAAGCTGCAGGTGCTTGCGAGGCGAACGTGGAATTTCAAATCCTCTTTCCGCCCGCGCGTTTGGGCTCCCTTTAAAATTGTACCGTTGTTTTTTCGAATTTACGAGGCGGTAGATATGAAGGTGATAATTTATTCAGAAATTTTTTTTTGCGCCTTTCGAGAAGAAGATCGAGGAAAATTTTTATTATATCTTGTAGAAAAAAAAAAGAGAGAGAGAGAGAGAGAGAGAGAGAAACTTTTACATCTTTGAATCCCTCGTACATTCGCGTCGCGTCTTATCCATTCCGCATGTATATGTAAGATGCTTGGATAACTAAAATGTGCTACATGAAGCATCGTTAATATATGCATCAGGAACACATGTTCAGATAATATCTCGAAATTTCGTGCAACGGTAATAACTAGTCTCATCGTCGCGGTGCAATTTTCGAATTTCCCTTCACACATCCGTTTCTTGTTACACAACCTCCAGCAGAGGGCAACGGTGAGAGGGAGAGGAGGAGAGGGATATTGCTAATATATGTAGCATTAATAATCGCGGCACCAAAATTCATTCGAAGTTCGAAACTAGAAGCAGGCAAAAGGAAAGGGATGAGGGAAGCAAGGGGTTGTACGCCTCTCATAAGTTTCTAAAATCAGATATGAACAAGAGTCACCGCCATGCTGCCGCGTTTCCGGTGAATCCTAACTTCCGTCTTGTGTGTGTGTGTGTGTGTGTGTGTAAAATAATTTAATAGATAACTTAAATAAATATGAATAAAATAAAGAATAAACGAGAGCAAAGGTAAACTACTCTTATCTATACTCCGTTATAATTTATTAATGGAATTTTTGATGAATTTAACTGCGATATTTTCATGTATTTAAATTCAATTACGATAAAACCAATATTTTTTGCATAAATAGAGCGCTAGGTTCCATAATTTCAAGAGAAGATTTTATAACAATAATATAAAATATACTGTGTAAATTATATTACAAATATAAATATATATATAATATCAGAGAAATCTTCCTGAATATATGTTTGCACAGATGTCTTTTATTCTCAGGATTTTATAGTGTCTGGAGAGACTTTCAATTTCCTTTTATTCTAGCTTATTCGATAAAATATTTTCTCGGTTTATCACAAACCTGAGGATAGTCTCCAAATTTCGTTTGATAGTCGAAGACGTATAGATAGGAATTTCTATGAGATTGGCTGTGAAGATCCGCAGTTCTCGTCGCTGGGGCGACGACATTCGCATCTCCCAGAGCCTCTAGGGTCTCGTCTCTGAAAAAAAAATTAATAATCCCCTTTCATAATATACTTTGTAATATATTTCAAACATCTCTCGTTCATCAAAAATAAATCTAAAATAGGTGATAAAATTGTAGTTAAAATATGCTTGAGAAATTTAATCTGTATAATTACATCTGTATATAACTAATAATACGCTTTTTTGTAATAATATTGTTATACTACATTATTGCAAAATATATTGTTACACCAATTAAAAAAAAACTTTTAAAATAAAAAAATACGATACAAATTAAAAATAATTTTTAAATAATATGATATATAAAACAAATAATTCGTAAAATAAAGAGTTAGTAGTAAATTAGCAAATAATTAAATATAGAGATGATTTATTTACTGTTAGTGCAACGCATAAATAATTAATAATAATTAATTAGAATAAATATATGACGGTAATTAAAATAAATGAAAGGGTATCGGTTTGAATTTCACTATCAATTAAATTTCTCTAGAATTTACCTAATATTAACGGGATGTTGGACAGGTCGCTCCCAGTCCGTGTACTCGTTTATGATGGTCGCCAGGATCTCTGGCTGATGATACGTATACGTGTTTCGCACGAATTCGCGCAGGATCCTCGTCCTTCTGTCAGCCTCGATCCCATATTGAGCGTCATCGGCGGTTAAGGAAAAATATGCTTCCGAACGAACGACTCCCACCATCAGGTCGTATCTGCAAATTCACGAATTCACCATTTTACGCACTTTTAAGAGTAAAAAAGATGTTCCATGAAATATTAACAAGAGTTCGCAATCTGTAAAACATTTTAGGGCATATAAGTTTCCGTCTCGAAGTATATGAAAAGTTTCCCCGAGATACGAGAAGTTTCTCTTTTAGCCTCAAGACTCTTAGATCCCGCGGTCCTTAAAGAGTCACATTCTTGTCTAATGCAAGACTCTGTTCTGTCACTCATGTTATAAAATATTCGCTGCAGGATAATAGAAAATTTTCGAAAATATGAAAAAAATTAACAATATACATATATGTACAGAAATCTTTAATTTGTAAGAAACTTGGATACTTAGAATCTTTCATCGGCACTTTAGATATGAAAGTTTTTTGGTTCTTGCCAGTTTTTCTGTTTACACGCGAGCGTTCCGTATTTTTCAAACGAAGAATAAGAAAGTTCTCCTGAACATTGTAGGATGCGATTTTATTTTTCTTCGTCGATGGTTCCCCCGCCGGGCAACGATATTGTTTCCCGCGCTATTTATTTTCCCTTGTCTCGAAGCTCGATCTTGCGAGTTATAACGATTGAGACAAAAAGAAAAGTTGAATGATACCTCGACAGTTTTGCCACGACATCCTTCCTCAGAAGGATATTGTTGAGCGTATTGATCGTGTCGACTTGCAGGGTGTAGTCCTGATCCTCGGGATCGCCGGGATCGATTACGACACCGTCTATGCTTGGACCGAAGGCTGGCGCGAACTCTAGTCCTTTAACAGGCACCGACTCCAGTTCGTTCAAGGATACATCCCTCAGGCACCTCAGCAGGTTCTGAGGATCTCCCGTCGCCTGCGACAGAATAAAGCCGTGTTCTATAAATGTGAGAAAAAGAAGTATCAGCGACTCTCGATTGCACAAATATTACGACCAGGAAAAAAATTTCTTTTTGTTATCTGCACCGCTTTTAACACTCAACTTTCCGCGAAGTAAATAAATGGATATAAAATAATCTGGTCCCCTCAATCAAATTATGATAAAATAATAAAATATCGGTAAGATACAGAAAATAATCTTGTAACTGGAATTAATAATTCATACTGCATGGATAACCATGACGTCCAGATAAATAAATGTTTAAAGAAATCATATTCCTCCAATTAATTTCAAGCTGAGATTACTCGAATAAGATATCAATTCTGAGAATTATAAACTTGCATAAATATACACGACGTCAAAAATTTGTAGAACAGACTGTGATTAGTCGATCTGTCGATATTTCGTGCCGAGAGAAAGGTCGACTGCAAACTCTCATTCAATTAAGACCGCGATTTGTGAGACACTGTTGTACATATATATGTAACAACATCGCGCTCGGTAATTTTATCGGGATGAGGGAAGCAATCAGGGGAGCTTTCGGGGGCCCTCGTTGTACGCGGCCAATTTGCACACGCGGTCGAGGTCGCTCGTTTCATCAACGACCGACTCGACATTCGATTGCGGCCAACCCTCCTTTCCTCCCTCTCCCCCTCTCCCTCACCGTCCATTCCCCACGCCGCGTCGGCAGCTGAAAGACGATTACTGGCGCTAAAGCAATTCATTTGCGTACCGCCGAATTAAAGCGAATCGTCGGCGAAGCGCGGTCTTCATCGGTCCAGCACAGTTCCGGACGCGACTGAATTTCGCTGAGCGATGCACGAAAATCTTGTTTACCTTGCCTAAAGTAGGTAGGTAGCCTCGTTAAGGTGCCGGCTCGCGTTCCAACGGTGGGTTACATCCACGGCGGAGAAAATACCGTCGGAAAATGTTGACGCGATATGCGTTAATTCTGGCACGTCTTCCGTCTAAGTTCGGGCCACGTGATTTATCTTTCGCGCGTTAAATACGGTTTATCTCTCGCGTAGAATTCAAGGGAGCAATAACAGAAGAAGGAGAATCGTAGGACATAATATTTTCTTTAGAGAGAATAAATAAATTCTTTATACATTTCTCAAAAGAAAAGGAGAATTCCCGTTTAAGTGAAGCTTTCAAATAAATTAACGAAAAATAAATGCAAGTACGAGAACATTTTTAAGAAATTATTTCTGAAAAGAAAAAATATTAAAAAAAATCGAGGATAAAATCAAATAAATTTCATGAAATATTCTTTTTTCGGTGAATACAATATCGAGGCGGAAAAAAAACTCCGTTATCCGAAAAATACGGTTTACTGTGTCTAAAGGATTCCGAATTGCGGTACGCGATTGAAGGTAACGATTAAACGAGGATTAAGCGCCGATTGTTCCTCGATGTTTCTGAAAGTGCCCCGCGGAAAAAGTGGCCGCGCGCGAAATGGAAATCGAGACCGGGGATTATATTATGCCGTTCGGATCAGCGGACTTGTAGCAGGAATCAATTTTATTTCACCAACCCACCCTTTTTTTCACCCACGCTCCGCCCTCCTTCGTGGGATATTCATGGAGGGGAAAGTTTGAATTGGAAAAACACCGATGAAACCGGGTTATCTTTTATTGCGTTATTTTTGACAGACGAGGACACGAGGACGGGCTTATAGAGGTTTATATCTGGGCTCTTTCGACGACGATCGGGAATATCGTCGCCGGAATTTACAGCGCTGCATATCAATTTCAATAAAGAAGACGTCATGGCGGCTCCCCGCGGTTATAAAGTGGGCCAAGTACGTAATTCACCTTCAATAAAATAGCCGTCAACCGAGGACAACATATTTTTCATGGCGTAGTGTCAGTATTGTATCCTGAGAAGAAGGATAAGAGAAAGAGAGAAGAAAGAAAGGTGCGGAATTATCTGTACGATGATAGAGTGTGTACACGGCGCTTTTTATTGAATTCTGAAATAACGCACGTGCACTTTATTCATTCTTTTTCTTTTTTTATTAACATTGCTTTATATAAAATTAAAATAACGCGAGCGTTCGAGCGATTAAAAAAATTATCAGCTGCAATAAAATAACAGTCTCGCTGCCTTGTTACAGTTATACGTATACGAAAATTTGCATCCGATGCCAATTTGCAATTTGCGAAATTTAGCTTCCCTTCTACTATTGAAAATGCGCGCGCGTGCTCGCCTGTTGGGGCCAATGTATGTCTCGGGTGTATATTAGCTTAATTGAAACGCCCCGTTAATATAATTGGTGTTGCGTAATTAACGCTGTAAAAACATGGACGAGCGGGGTTATTCGCGTATTTGATATTTTAATTTATGTCCATCCGCTCTTACGCAATGGTTGTTACACCGCCGACGATCGGCATTATTGTGAATTATGCGAACAGGCGCTCGAAAACGAGCGAATAAGAATTAACGCAAAGAGAGAAAGAGAAAGAGAGAGAGTGTACGTGCCGAGGTGATGAAATATAACGGGTACGTGTCCTGTCGATCGGTCCTATTCTGTAAACTGATATAAACAAGACGTATCCGAATTCAATGCCGGATTCATCGACGCCCTAGCTGTCTCGTAAAGTTGGAATCTGTTTGAAGCGCTTTCAAATTTTCAAAAAATTTTTCAAAAGCTTAATTCTCCAGTTTCTTCTCAATCAAAATATTTATTAAATTTGATTTAATATTTTTCTTTTAAATTTAATTTACTCTCTCTCTTTATCGAAGTTAATTATAATCAGAATTTATTTTGACGATATTGCTCTCGAGGTAATAATTTTAGTTTTAAATTCTATGTTTAATAGAGAGACGTGTATTTTTTATATCCGTCATACTTTTCAAGCGAAAGATCGACGAGAGAGAGAGAGAGGATGTTGGAAGGGTTAATGAAATTACAGACTGACGCGCGGGATAATTTCGGCGCGATCGGGTGGACATGTGTTTGCTGGTACTCACCGACGAACAATTTAGGTGTTTGGCGACCTGCATGGCGTAATTGGCGGCGCCTCTCACTAACGCCCAGGGTGAAAGTGCACTGCCGGACATCAGGACACCTCGATGGAATAGCAGACCTGCAATCGAGCCCGCCGTTGTTAATAACAGGTACAGTGCACTTTGTAAGGTTCGTTACAAGCCTCAAAAGCGCTCGGGGACTTGGAGCTGACGTCTCAAATTTAAGCGTATAATTTATTCATCTCTTTCATAATAATGATAAATAACAAATACGAATATCTGCTTGACAAAATATCCTTAATGCATCCTACAAAGTGAAATTTTTATTTTGCGCAAACGCTTAAATAGAGATAGGGGTAATTAAGTATTAATAAAAGAATATCTCTCTTCCTTTCCTGAGATCTTGAGATCTCGAGCAACTTTTTCTCCCCTCATTATCCTTCGTAGTTCTAGCGTAACGCAATCTTTGCATCCTTTGCATATTTGGTGTTCCTGGAAATGTTCTACCCTTCGTAAAAATTCTATATCCTGAAATCACCGCATTCGCGAGACGCGATTTCGGAATTCTAGCGTCGTGCGCGCCTCTTCGAAAGGTCTTCGGCTTTATCTCGGGATTCGCAAATCATATCTCGTAATGCAAAAGTGTTTGTTCGCACGGGAAGGGGGAGGGATTATATATCGCGATGCGCAGAATTGAATTTCGAGATGATTTCGAGGTCGATCCCCTTCGCGAACGGAACTACGATATTACCTGAGTAAACGAAATACAATCCGAGTTTCAATGCATAGTAACGCGAATACTCTCATCTCGATCGCTCGATAGATTTATTTCCAATCAACGATTTCCATTACGATGTTATCAGCGATTTCCGTTCTAAAGATGAGGACCAAGAAGGCGCACCAAATGTCGCCACATAAAAAAAGATGTGTAAAAAAAAAGTGTACAGAATGTATAAAAAAGTTGATATATAACGGACTTTTCATGAAATATTGCAAAATGTAAATGAAGAAATTTCTGTAAAAAATATTTAAGTTATACAATTTATATAATTTCATGTCAGCGTTAATTACGTATATCTGTCTGCGCGAGAGAAGATTGATTAATGTAATATACACTTGTATATTACTTACACGCGCGCGTTATTACTGATATATCACTATTAAGTAATTAAAAATAAAAAGAAAAATTAATAATTACGTAAATGAAATCTTGTTCATTTCTCAGGAAAAAGAGCTAATAAAGCATCTCTTTTCATTTCCATTTAATTAAGAGTTTCTACTTTCTACAGAAAGTAAAGAACAATGAAAGAATCGTGGGATTTCTTGTCTCGGTAATAATAATAAGATATGTATTATCTTGGGGCAGCCCCAAAGAGTTGGCCTTGGCTTGGAGCTTATTAGTGATTAATTTTCTCATCACGCGTCGGAAAATTGGACATTACGTAAGAGATGAATAGACAAGAGAGTGCACAGCTTTCGCAGTGCGAAGAAAATTAAGGCAACAGGGAGAACACGACGTGTTGCAAGCTTCCTCGTGTTAGTTGGTCTATTATTTAATACAGAAGACCGGGATAAGTTACTTAATCCCAATCCTGTGAATCGTTAATCTTGATATTTCGAAGATATAAAGTTCCTTCCGCGAAAGATCTTATATATAAAGTATTTCTCTTGACGTAAACTAAAAAGCGTAAAGAAAATTTTATCATATATTTATATATGAATAATTATTTATTATT